GTATGAAAAAGCACATGGAAAAACATCCCAGTAGAGTTTTGTATCAGCAGGAAATTCTTGATCTATATGACCTTGGCCTAATTTGAAACTTCAAGAAATTGAGTAAGAGCCAGCCCAAAGAAAGGGCTTCTGAGTTAATTCACCTTCCCTGCTTCTGGACTTCTCAAGGGTTTCACTGCAAGGACACTTTCCACTTAGTTCATGAATTTTTTAGCCACCTTTCATCACTGACCTTCCCCTTCAATTTGAAGAGAATAGCAAGGTCTGGGCAAAACGACATTGTTGTTACTGCCTTTTGATTTGTCTCATTTCGACCAAACACAAATATCCAGTCTTTTTAATCGTGTTTCTCTGGCAAGTCTCACTAATCTGAGAAGAACATTTCTCCCTATTTTAATCTTTAAAACTCTGGTATTACTTTGTGAAATACAGCGTGAAAAATGGGTTGGGAAAACTGATGACTACAGCTGAAAGCTGCTTTCTTTTCCCATAGTTCAGCTGTCTCAAAGTCATTCAGGGGCTGTTTGTTTTCCTTTTTGAAAGAATAAGCTTTTGAGATCATTCATTTTTGGGAAGAATGCAGATTATAACTGGGTTCTATCCAGCTACCAATGATACACAGGCTAAGACAATGGAATTTTTGTAGTGTGTCTTTGTCTTGGACTTAAAACCAGAAGGTCTTGCAGGTCTTATGGGACAACCTGTTGATGTAAATGGCTGTGAGAGTAAAAGCTTAGGCTTGTTAAAGCATTTCTCTAGCTCAGAAACAGTGGTGCCTTCCTGAGGGTTTTTCCAGGAAAAGGTGTGGCTGCCCTGTCCCTGGAAGTGTCCAAGGCCAGGTTGGACGGGGCTTGGAGCGACCTGGGCTGGTGGAAGGTGTCCCTGCCCATGGCAGGGGATGGGACTGGATGGGTTTTAAGTTGCCTTCCAACCCAAACCATTCTGTGATAATTATTTCAATATATAAAAAGATGAAATATAGACAGAATCACTGGCATACTAAAATGTTAATTTATAACACATAATCCTGCATCTACTTTAATCCCATTCATTTCCTGTGTTCTTCACTCATCAACTTCCATGCTCTTGTCCATAAAACTCATCAAAGTGTTCAGGAGGTGGTTTTGTTTTAACTGTTAAGCTGTGGAACTCCTAATGTGGCTCTGACATGAAGAATAATTCCTCTCTCCTCATGTCACTCCTGTAAGCAATTCTCAGTGCTAATAAGCAATAACTCCTCTTGAGAAAAGTTGGAAGTATTTGATACCCTGACAGTCAATGGGACAGCACTAACACCAGTCAGAAGGGCCTTAAATTGCTTTGAACAGGCAATAGACATTAAATGTGGTTGCAACCGTAAAACTTGATTGTAGATATATCAAAACTAACCTTGAGAACTTGGTTCCTTTTGATTCTTCCTCTCTCCATGGCAGCGAGTTGCTACTAGATGGTCTTTAAGGACCCTTCCAACCCAAACCCTTCCACAACTCTCTGAAGTGGACCTTGTTTAGGTGCTTTGTTCATAATAAAATCAGAGATAATCCTTCCATTTAATGGTAGCAAGAGTTGAACTGACCAGGGACAGCCCCCAGGGAATGGCTGGAGCTGTGTCAGGGCAGGCTCAGGGTGGATCTCAGCCAAAGGTTCTTCCCCCAGAGGGTGGTTGGCACTGAACAGGCTCCCCAGGGCAGTGGGCACAGCCCCAAGGCTGCCAGAGCTGCAGGAGGGTTGGGATGATCCTCTGGGGCACAGGGGGTGACTCTTGGGGATGGGGCTGTGCAGGGCCAGGGGTTGGACTGGATGATCCTTGGGGGTCCCTTCCAGCCCAGCACATCCTGGGATTCTGTAACAAAGGGGTGGAAAAGTGTGATGGGTTTGCTTGTCCTTTTCTACTGAATATTGCACAGATAAAATACAAAACAAGAAATGTGTGGCTGTTCCTGCAAGTTGCAAATATTTTTACCACATTATTTAGTACTGGGGCCTTTTAATGCTGCTGCTAATCAACTGAGGCTTCAGTTTATATCATCCTGCTACAGCAATAATCATTTTCATTTAAAGGTCATATTAAATTATTTGGGTCTTAGCTCCATAATGGTTGACTCTAACAACACTATTTCAAGACAGTGATATTGTTTAAAATTTGTAATGCACTTATATTCTGGCAAGGAAGCGTTTGTGCCTCTATATTGAA